ACAGAAATATAAAGCAATCCACCTGTGTAATTTTAAATGTTCTAATAGCCACATTTAAACATTTTTTTAAAAAGGTGAAACTGATTTTAAGATTTTATCAAGTATAGTTGAAATGTCATTTTAACATGTAATCAAAAATTTTTAATTAATGAGATGTACTTTTTTTTACAAATCAAGTCTTCAAAATCTGGTGTATATTTTACTCATATAGCATATCTCAAGTCAACCAGCCAGATTTCACGTGCTCATATGCCACATATGGCTAGTGGCTACCACATTAGACAATGCAGATCTAGATGCCGGTAAGATAAAAAGATATATAAATTAACATTTCAAAGATTCCTGTTTACTATATTTTTAAAAAATCATAAAATACATTTACTAGTTTAAAAGAACCCTTTCCATTTCTTCATTATCATATCTCAGCCCCAAAAATATGCTACAAAGCAAAAAATGATTTCAAGTAACAGAAAGTAAAAGGAAACAAATATGGTTGCAATGCCAAACTTTTAAGCTACGCAAATAATGCTTGCTCAAAATTTAAATTAGCAACTTTTCCCTCCTTAATTAAAATTCATTGCTATTACACTTGAACTTACCTCCACATATTCATCTCTGACAAAGTCTTTGTATTTTTAAAATGAAAAAGAAAAGTATATTTAACACACAGGGGAAAAACAGTCCTAGTTCAACTTTAAAGCCATCAATTATTAACTTTCATCAAACAGATCTTTGATATTGCATTAAACCATTTCTTCACATCTTTCTGGGACTGCCACATGCTTTTATTTTTTAAAAGTAACAGCTACAGTAAAACCATAAAAAAAGAGTTTCTTTATGAAATTTGATATTTTTACGTTTCTTAAATTTTGATTTTCTAAAATATTGCTGTTTTTATACTTTCTGAATCAAAGAATAGTTAACACAACCAGAGACTCATCCACATTTGCGGAAGTTAACACAACCAGAGACTCACTTACATTTGGGAAAGGGAAGAATAAATCCTAAATAAAAGCATCTACTCTGTTACACTACAAGTAGTAGTTGTTTCTTATAATTTTTACTTTAGATGTGTAATTTACACGTCTACATTACAAACCACAGAAATAGAGAGATTTTAAATTATTATTCTTACAATTTTTTTCCAGATTTGATATGATATGCTGGTGAGGTGCTAGGGCAGAACAAGAGAAAGACAGCTAGATCTTAGTGTCTGTCATTTTATTTTATTTTTTATTGAAGTCAGAAAGATGTGTTTTTCCACCAGGATTGTTCTCCTAAGGCAAAACAAGATGTCATTACGTTCACCCATTCTCTATACATAAATCCTTCCCATGGATTCTGGATTTTAGTGATTTAAAAAAATATATATATATACACATGCCTCAAAATTTGAATACAAAAAAGTTCAAATTTTTTCGTCCTTCCACACAAGAACAAAGGGTGACTTAACCTTCCACTCCCTTTATTTCTTCAGATCCTAGTCAAAATCTCTTTTATGAAAATCTTTAAACAAATCTAGTTATTATCTAATTGTTAACATATATGTCAAGCACATTTGGTATTCTGGGGTAAATTGTGACTTGCTTAGGAGTAAGTTCATTATATCTGCCACCTCACCTACAACAATTTTTAACATAGTGTTTTGTATATTTTAGCTGTACAGTAATTGTTAATCACAACCACAAAAAAAAAAAATTCAACCTTGGTCACTTAGAAACTCAGTACCAAAACTCATCTTTACTGTAAACTATTTCATCCATGTATGAACTAATTCAAAACTTACAAGACCTTTATACCCTTTAGCACTATCTAAGTGCTAAAGTGCTTTACTTTGCTAGTCCTGCCCCAACTTCATATCCCCCCAGTTTTTCCATCTAATACCTCCTTTTGCTCTATTTAATGGTCCCTGTCATTTTCTTTTCTCTAAGAACCTATCTGCTCATAACAGCCTTCACACAATCTAACACTCCACTTTGTTCAAAATCGTCTTCCAATTTCATCTTATCCAAGAAATTTTACCAATCTACATATTATGTTAAAAGTCTTCCCAAAACTTCTAACAAAAAGTTTTGCTCAAATCTTTCAAATGTAGTAAGCAAAGGGGTAAACAGTTAAAACGAAAACATACATACACACATTAAACCCTCATAAAGTTATCCTCCTGGACACACTCAGTTTTCTACCTTACCCATCAAGTGCTGGGAGCCAAAGAAAACCCTTTAAAAGGACATTCTAGGAAATGATCATCAGAAAGCGGCACTTTCTATCACCAGATTTGCATGAGCTGATATTAGCTCCTCTTTTATGTGGCTCAATTAGCCCCGACTCAAAACCCCTAGTTCCTAAATTCTGTTTCCCATGAATTTCTTTTTTCCCATGAATTTCCTCTGTTTTCTGTCTCTATGTCAACAGGAAGGCACCAAGTCTGAGGATAAAAATTTCAACAATTACCTCAGCAGTAAAATTTTGTAAAAGCTAAGCAGAGATAACATTCAGAATATATTTATATATGATATTAACTTCTAAATCTAATTGTCAAATAATATAAACCAATTTTTGTAATTTTATTCAGACTTCTTCCCCATGCCAAGGAAATGTAAAACTTTATAAAAAAAATTATTTCATTCTTGCCATGATGGAGTAACAGAGACTATATTTATCCTCTTACCTGATACAACCAAAAAAGATTGGACAAAATATATGAAACTGTATGAACATAATGCTTTTCAAGACTTTGGACAATAGGCAACAATGGAGAACAATTCCTGAGACTCAGGAAATAAATGAGGTAGACTCTATGATTGCCATCTTGCCCACCTTGTGAGAGTTTCCAGGCCGTGGCACAGGTAGGGAAAATTCAGAGCCTGGCATACTCCCTAAATTGAGGAGATGGAACTGAGGGTCCCTGCAAGTCAGACAAGCCACATTTCAGGTACTGAACTGCAGTTAGACCAAGGTGGCTAGAGTTCCAAGTCAGAGTACCAGAGAGGAAAGAACTACACAGAGACTGTCAGAGGTTAGCAGAGGATCACATCAAGTATTCATCAGGGAACTGATCAGTACATTCATGTACTCAAGGCCAGAGAAAGATTAGATGTAACCTTGGCCAACATTCATACAGGGCCAGGAATAGTACCTGTGTGCACCAGCCAGACTGGAAAACCTACTGTTTCAAGGTAAATTGGGTAGAGTACACAAAAAGATATTGCCTCAGTAGGGAGGAATGATAGTCTTAGGCTGTGTACTACTCTGGAGCAAACTCCTTCCTAATGTAACCGCATACCAGAATAAAACTCAAGAATATTTATAGGAAAATAGTCAAACACAGCAAGGTAAAATTCACAATGTCAGGCATCCAATCAAAAATTATCAGGCAAGCAAAGAAACAGAAAGATATAACCAATAATGCGAGGAAAAAAAAAAATCAATCAATCAAAAGCAAACCAGTATTGACTCAAATGTTAGAATTACCAGACAAGGCCATTAACAGTTATTTATTATAGGCTGGCCGCAGTGCTCATGCCTATAAGCCTAGCACTCTGGGAGGCTGAGGCGGGAGGATCGCTTGAGATCAGGAGTTCAAGACCAGCCTGAGCAAGAGCGAGATCCCATCTCTACTAAAAAAGAAAGAAATTAGCTGGACAACTAAAAATATGTAGAAAAAAATTAGCCAGGTGTGGTGGTGCATGCCTGTAGGCCCAGCCACTCGGGAGGCTGAGGCAGAAGGATCGCTTGAGCCCAGGAGTTTGAGGTTACTGTGAGCTAGGCTGATGCCACGGCACTCTAGCCCGGGCAACACAGTGAAACTCTGTCTTAAAAAAAAAAAAAAAAAACTATGCAAGAGACAAAGCAACAAAACATCATTAAAATACTGGGGTTTATAACACATATGAAAGTAAAATGTATGACAAAACTAGCAAAAAGAACTTAAGAGAAGAAATGCAAGTGTACTATTCTAAGGTTCTTATGCTATACATGAAGTGGTATGATGTCCCTCAAAGGCAAGACCATGATAAGTTAAAGATCTTAACTATGAATCTTAACACAGCCACTAAAATAAGAGAGCTACAGCTTATAAATCAACAGAGAAGATATAACAGAATCATAAAAATATTCAATAAAGTCAAAAGAAGATAAAAATTAAAGGAAACAACAGTAGAAAATAAGATAACAGATTTAAATAAACCACAGTAACATAAAATTCTAGAAAATGCAAATTAATCTATAGTAGCAGCTTGGGGACAGGCACGGGAATAATGGAAATGTTCATTTTCTTCATTTTGGTGTGAATTTCACAGGTGTATACATGAGTCACAAATATCAAATTGTATGTTTTAAGTATATGTAGTTTATTATGGCAATTATACTTAAAAGGGGCTGTTAAAAAGTTATTTTTGTTATTACCCTTAAAGCCAGTAGCATTATACACCCTGACTGAACACAAAAAGGTGCTCTTCCTTATGTATTTTCGCAGATAATGCCCTAAAGAGCTCCTGACAATAACACAGTGAAAAGCCACACAAGGTCCACAGTATGCCTTCCTGAAGCAGAGTAGACAACTATTCTATTTCATGCTCATTATGAGAAAAGGATATTTTGCCTTCCATGCATAAATTTATGAAAAGATTTCCCACTCTAAAACTACAAATCAGACATCTATACTGAATTGTATTATCTTATGCTTTAACCAAAGGGAACTATTTAGAGAGTTTAAAATTAAAATGGTAGTTTTATTTGCTTTAAAAAATTGATAAAATTCAAGAAAGATTTAGGGAATTTGCTATATTAAGAAAACAAATCTCTAAAGCTATTTGAGCTGGAAGAAAATTTTAGTCTGTTTTAAGACCAACCTCCCCCAAAAAAGACTTGAATACTTTTATTAAGTAATTTTGACAAAGAGCCAAAAACTAGAAAATAAACATTCTTAATATGAGTAAATATGAATGGTGGGGTTTGTATCATAATTAGAGAAAGAAATGCCAAGCAACCTCACTCACCTATTTTGTTCCTCCAGCTTAGCCAGGAGTTCTAAGTCATCTGGACTCAACTGTGATGGGGAAGATGGTGAAAGGGCTGGTGTTGACAGTGTGGTAGACGAGGACGTGGTATGTAATGAAGCAGATGGACTTGCCACCTGACTGGCCATCTGACTGACTGTATGCGATACTGTGTTCTTCACCCATGAGAGAGTAGAACTCAGCTTTTCGGCAACCTTGTCTGTCGCCACCTAAGGACGAAAATAAAAGTTGCATATATTTTAGTTTTAGTGCATTCATTACCAAAAACTTGATAAGCCTATTAAATTTTACTTAATAACCACCATCAGAATATTCTCTTTGAGGTGATAAAGGTAAAACCTGTTTTAGCAACCATTATTCTAACATCCAGCTTCTGGAATCTATTTCAGTTCTGTAGCTGAACAAATCAGAACAGTGTTTTCCAAACTACACACTGAAACCCATCAGGAAGTGATAAAATCATTTTAATAGTAACACCAGAATGTTTTAAAAGTTAAAAAGAGCAGAATATGTTATCTAATGAAATCTCTGTTTCAGTTACATATATATTAAAAATGTGTACTACATGTATGTATATGTACAGGTGTATTAAGTCAAGATGTATTCTTTATTGGCATTCTAGTCATTTGAAAGTCAAGGAATTAAAACATGTCCATTAGGTGATCGGGATAAGGAAATCCTGTAACATGACCAGCAAGTCAACAAAAACTGGGTTTGTTCAGGATAAATGAAATGTAATAGACCCTTGATCAATCAATCGGTCTTCAAAACCCTACAGCATTGTTATAAAAGAGGGACTAGCTCTAGAGAAACAAAACTACAATAAAAGCTTGAGTTAACAGAGTGAGAGAGATTTAAGGTAGAAATTTCAAACAGCTATTTAGAAATAGCATGGGATGCCTAGAAAGAGTAGTTCATTCTCTTTCAATAGCTACATTAAAGCTGCAATTATAAGAGCCAAATGTGAAGAGTTAGTTAAGGATGAGTTAATAAGGTAGGAAACCAGGACAGGAAAAGCCTTCAAGATTCCTTTCTTCTCTAAGATTCAATAAATTATACACACGTCCACATATTTCTCATAAACCATTCCAACTTCCTAAGCAGATATGTATACAATAAATTCAGCTGAAAGAGAAAATATACACAAATAATATCCAAATAGGCATTATCATTTCAGTAATGTAAAACAATGTGAACAGTAATTGCATCTACTACCTATACAAAGCTAAACATTCTTGATGATATAAGTTTACAAAATAAGGTATAACAGGGCTTTTAGTTTTTAAAAATTATCATTAAAAAAGCTTGTTGATTGTGAAGTGCTTAGACATATAAAAGCTACAAACTATGAAGTGCTTCTATGTACTTTGAGATCTTAAATCTTATTTAACAGGTAAATGGCTAAAGCATTTTAAATTATTTTCTGAATCAACAAATTCTTAGCCAACCTTGGTTTACATACAGCAATTCATAATCATACACACACATATACATTAAAACACCAATATATACACACAAATAAAAATTCCTCCCCAGACTTCTGGTAGCGGGTAATACTCTTCTCACGGGTTACCCAAGGCTTTCCTCCTCACCTCAATATATATATGACTCTTTCTCTGTCCCCACTTCCTCCACCTCAACTTAGCAGGAAAATTCAATGTAAGGAAAGGATAAAATGGAAAAGGGATTCCAAGGACATGGTTAAGCCAGCCATTCAACATGAGGATGGAGCTTCTAAGGAGACAAAGATTCAATTTCAAGAGCTAATTAGGGGCAAGAGTTTTATTAACCTGAGGATATCTTCCATTTTGTTTTCCTTTTCTGTAATTTGCCCCTATTAGAACTTACTTCCCTTAGGAATGGTATTATAGAAGGACCAAGAGACTCTTACTGTTGAGGAAAGAACCATCAACAAAGACAAGGAGAATGAAGTATGGGACTTAAGGGAAAGAAGCATGGGGCAGACCATTTATGCCTGCTTCCAGGCAAAAGAAGTCTTTCTTGACAACTCATAGATCAGCATAGCTCATCAGGGCAAAAGGCCGTATAGGAATCAAAGAATAATTTAGCCAAAACTAACTTTCTTTGTGCCAGGAAATGGTATAGGCCATGGTGGCCACCAAGATAGCCTACTGTGTGATTTGTTATTCTACTTAACTTATCTATAGAGCTATAACTACAAATTCGATTGTGAAAATGGCACAAATTTGCATTCCAAAAGCACAAGATCTTATTTAGAAACAAAAAACCTAATGTATAAAAATCTACAGAAAAATGGTATACTTTTACTAATATTAACCATTAATTTCAGATATTCATACAACTGTCAAGAATGAATGCTTTACATTTCCATTATATAAAAGTCCACTACTCAAGTTAATTGCTGCAAAGGCAAAAGACACCTATTAACTGCTTAAATTTATTATATCCCTTTGCACAGTGTAGTAACAGCCTCCCATTTAAAGAGTTTGGAATAATCAAGAGCACAATTCTGACATCCTTTCAACGTTGCTGAAATGGGATTCAGCCTATAAATACTGAATCCTCAACAACTCATCTTCAAATTTTAATTTCTTAAACATTAGTTGGAATATTTAATTACAAAGGCAATTCAATAAAGCTTAATATTAATATTCATGGTTCTAGAAAATGCACAAGACTGAATTATTTTTTCATATATCATCATGTCCTTTTTTTCCTTTAATTCTAATTTTCCAAACTTCTACCCTGCCACCTCAGGACCTCTTTCCCTCATCCTACAGTAAGTTGAGGTCCTGAAGACATAATAAATCTGACAATGCAACTATGGAACAAAATTCCTGTCTACCTCATAGAGGCATTATGCATTTATTTTTAAAAGTGAACAGACATTGGAAATGCTAAAATAGGCCAGGCGCAGTGGCTCATGTCTGCAATCCTAGCACTGTGGGAGGCTGAGGTGGGAGGATCACTTGTGCTCAGGAGTTTGTGACCAGCCTGAGCAAGAGCAAGACCCCATCTCTACTAAAAACAGACAAAGTTAGCTGGGCCTGGTGGTACTTGCCTATAGTCCCAGCTACTCGGGATGCTGAGGCGGGAGGATCCCTTGAGCCCAGGAGTTTGAGGTTGCTGTGAGCTAGGCTGACGCCATGGCAACTCTAGCCCTGGCGATAGAGCAAGACTCTGTCTCAAAATAAAGAAAATGCTAAAATCATCATTAAAAAGGCTCAGTAATCACACACAAAAGGCCACATGTTATATGAGTCTATTTACACAAAATGTCTAGAAAAGGCAAATCCAGAGACAAAAAGTAGATGAGTAGTTTCCAAGGACTGGGCAGGGGATGAGGAATGACTGCTACTAGGTACAGGGTTTCTTTATGGGGTGATGAAAATGTTCTGGGACTGGTGAGTGGTGACAGTTGCACAATCCTGTGAATAAATGCCAGTGAACTGTATACTTTAAAGGGGTGAATTTTGTGGTACATGAATTGTATCTCAATTTTTTAAAAGCTTAGTAAAAGCTTTAGACACTATTACAATATTTGAATAGGCTCTCCCATGAGAAACAGTCATGGTAATTACATCACTTTATATTTTATTAAAACTTATAAAGATGCTCTTAACTATCCCCACAAAGGACTATTTTTAAAGATTCCAATTTTAGATCCAAATAGCGAAGGAGAAAATGCCACAGTTTTGGTTAATTACTTCCTGAATCATACTGCGAAACTGAATCCCATTCCTACGGCATAATACTCCCCTGTGGGTAAAGGGCATTTTATCACTAAAGAGGAACCATGAGTATGGGTACCTGTGCTATGACTGGGAGTCAAAAACCCAATAGATCTTTAAGAGTCAAAAGTCAAATTCCTAAAAAAAGGTGTGTGTGACACTACACATTTCATAATGTCTACATTTCAGCTATATACAAATACTCATTTTTCTCTTTTAAGATTCACCAGTCATTTTGTAATTCTATCTTTTCCCCTTAGAGTAAGGGGATATTTCCTATAATTTTTTCATATCTGTTTATTGAATGAACACAAAGATGGCTTTTATAATATAGTTAGCATTAGTGTACATACAGCTTCTTTATATAAACAGCTCATAATCTATTATCCTTTTACAGCCTTTCTTCAAAAAATACAGGAAGCAAAGATGAGTGGCTTTCAACACTGAAGCTCAAACATTTCCAAGACCATTGATGACTAACAGATTTTTCTCCCTCCACACCATGATGCAAAACTACTTTATTTTATGTCTCTTACTAGTTTCTCCAAAGTACCTGTTGCTCACATCCACCCCTCTAATCTGTGCTACACTCACCCTTCTGCTTTCTTCTTTTCTGGTCCCTTTTCTCTTGACAATTTTCTTATACTCTTTGATTTTCACAAGTTGGGCTTTATGAAGCACTACCGACCAGACATCTCATTTTCCTTCCTTGAGATGAGTGGACATGGATCAAGAACTTGGTTTTATTTTTTACCTGGCTCACTTCTACTAAGGGTCAGATATACATATATATAAAAAAATAAATAAAAATCAAGTCAACAGATATTTACTGAGTCTTTACTCTGTGTAAGTCACTATGCAAAGCATAGAGGCTGCTATAATTAAAGACAATCCCCTACCCTGTCGTTATTCCTGTATTTCATACAGTCCTGCAAAAAAGTATCTACAATGGTATCCTAATCACTCCCTTTGATATACCTGTTAATTGCATGGCAATCTTATACTTAGTACTGAAAGCCAGTATAACAGTTTCCACATTGTAGGTTTTTATGGACTTTGAAGTGTAATTCTAACCAGGCTTCTGTGCTGTATAAACACTACATTTGATGCAACTCCCACTGTATGGTGCTACAGAAATTGAGAAAACAAAGTTTCAAAGAGAAGAGAGGGAAATATATCAGCAAACACTTTTTCAGGATTTAAGTTGTGCCAGGCACTATTCTAGGCACTTTATATGTGTTAAATCTATTTAACTGTCAAAATGCTATAAAATAACTGTTATTATTTTTCTCACTTCACAAGTGAGGAAATGATGACATAAAGATGCTGTACAACTTACATAAGATCACAAAGCTAATAAGTGTCAACCACAGGCAGTCCAGTTTGAGATTCTTTGCTCTTAACCACTACCAAGAGTGAGCAAGACCAAAGGTTAGCAATGGATGTAGACACTATTTTTTTTTTTTTTTGGATGTAGATACTATTGACTTCAGTGAGTCCATTTCACCTTAAGGAAGCAGAAACCAGATTATAGTAGGTTGAGTGGTAGCTGAGAGATGAAGAAATGGGAGCTGCAAAATATTCCCATTTTCCCGTTCCCACCATGATGACCTTTGCTCTGTCACTCAGGCAGGAGTGTAGCAGTGTGATCACAGCTCAATGCAACCTCAAACTCCTGGGCTCAAGTGACCCTCCTGCCTCAGCCTGCCAAGTAGCTGGGCCTACAGGCACACACCACACCTGGCTAATTTTTCTATTTTTTGTAGAGCCAGGGTCTCGCTCTTGCTCAGGCTGGTCTCAAACTCCTGCCTTCAAGCAATCTTCCCACCTTAACCTCCCAAAGTGCTAGGATTACAGGCATGAGCCATCTCGCCCAGCCTCTTGAGACTTCTTGTTTCAGACTGATTCCTGAAGGCTGTAGATTCCAGAAGGCTGGTCAGGATATTACCATATAACAACTCTTACTTTCCAAAAAGGCCTTCAAACAGACAATAACTTCATTTGGTTTTCTTTAAAAAAGAAAAACATACTGGTACAATTTAGATAACCAGGCTGTCAGGGTTAGTCTTTATCATTGTTGAGTTAGCTTGTTTTATTATATCAAGGTTGAATTAACAACTCAGCATTTTTATGGACTTTTCACATCACTTAATATTAACTCATTCAGTGTTCACTCATAATTCTATAAAATAAGTAAAGTCTCAGTTTTAGACATAAGAAATCCAAGATCACAATTATTTAAAAGGGTTGGGCACATCATTCATGCCTGTAATCCTAACACTTTGGGAGGCCAAGACAGGAATATAACTTGAGGCCAGGAATTCGAAACCAACCTGGGCAATAGTGAGACCCCATTGCTACAAAAACTAAAAAAATTAGCCAGGCGTGGTGGTGTGCACTTGTAGTCCCAGCTACTCAGGAGGCTGAGATGGGAGGATCGGATCGCTTGAGCCCAGGAGTTTGAGGTTGCAGTGAGCTATGTATGATGACTTCGCTATACTATAGCCCAGGGGACAGAGCAAGACCCTGTCTCAGAAAGGAAAAAAAAGATCATTTAAAAGATTTACATCATAACTCAAAATGGACCAACAACCTAAATTAAAGAACAGAAACGACAAAACTCTTAGAAGAAAACATAGAGGAAAAGCTTCATGACAATGATTTGGAAATGATTCCTTAGATTTGACCCCAAAAGCAAAGGCAACAACAGGAAGAAAAAAAAAAAAAGATAAACTGGATTGCATCAAAATTTAAAACTTTTGTGCCTCAGAGGACACTATCAACAGAGTAAAAAAAAGCAACCTATGGAATGAAAGAAAATATTTGCAAATCATATAGCTGATAAGAGATTAATATTTAGAATATATAAAGAACTACAAATCAACAACAAAAAAACCTTCAAACAACCAGATTAAAAAA